TTGGCTCATCTAGTGCTTTACTGCTGGAGCTGCACCTCCAGCCCAGATTTTTGCTGATAATTGTAGAATCTCAAAGAGTTTCCTGCTCAGGCTAGCCTTGAACCTCACACAGTCTTATAGATCTCAGCCTTCTGAGTAGCTAGGATTATAGAAATGAGTCACTGGCACCCAGTTCATACCTTTGTTATATTTCTTTTTATTAGTGTAAATTAATTATACAGATATTTCATTAGAATATTTCATCTGATGTAATCTGAATAAGTTCTTCCCCTCAACTAATCTTTCTTAGCCTACCCCCTCTCAATTTTCAGTTTTAACAATTTATAGTGCATTTCATTACTCTATTTTCATAATATATAAGGCACTTGAAACATATTTACACTCTGCTTCCCTCTCACCTCTCCCCATTAGTCTCTATCTGATCTTAAACCTCTACAGTAGTTCATTCTCCCTTGCTTGATTCCTCTAAAATCAATTCAAAGTTTCCCATGCTGCCATCAGGCAAATGTTAAACTTCTCATAATATTGTACCATGCTCTTCCTGATCAGAGGTCTTGACCAACTCTTTGGGCCATTTCTACACTAAACTTAGAAAATAATTATCCTTTAAATTTCTATGCTTCAGTCACACTGGACTAAGCCTTTGTTATGCTAACTGCTCTGTCTATAGCAATATACTTCTTTATTGATCTTTGTGCTATTTGTAAGTCTGCAGCTTAGATGCTACTATCACTTCAGGAGCACTGTCTTCAACCAACCTAGTTGGTACAATGTGGCTGTATGACACACCTGCTCCTGCATTTTCCATTCTAAGGTCATAGAACCCCCAGTGTCTTGAGCAATTACATAAGACATGTTGAATACACCTGCTGGGGATTAAACTTCTTAAAGTCTGAATTAAGAGTCAAAAACATAAGGCATTTCGTTGTTGGTTCTGTAACAGAGAGGACTTGGGAACAACTTAAAAGGACAATCACTATAAAAACAAAAAGTAAAGGGGATAAAGAACAATGGAATAACTAATGAAGGAAAAAAAAATTCTACCAGAATTTCCTGGTCTCTAAAATCTTGTACTTAACCTCCTTCATTCCATAAAAAAAGTGTATTCTTGAGATATTGTTCCCATATTTGGCATCCACTACACACACACACACACACACACACGTTCTTCTTAAGTACTCTTTTATAAAGAAGTCCTAGCTTGGCATTGTTGGCTCATGCCTATAATCCTACCTACTCAGGAGGCTGAGATCTGAAGATGACCATTCAAAGCCAGCCCACATAGGAAAATCCATGATAGTCTTTTCTCCAATTAACCACCAAAACAAGCCAAAAGAGGACCTGTAGCTCAAGTGATAGAGGACTAGCATTGAGCAGAAAAACCCAGGAACAGTTCAAATAGCACGATCATCACTAAAGAGGACAGTGGACAGTGTGTGTGTGTGTGTGTGAGTGTGTGTGTGTGTGTGTGTGTGTGTGAAAGAGAGAGAGAGAAAGAGAGAAAGCAAAGCAAAAGAAAAGAAGAAAAGAGAAGAGAAAAGAAACAGAATGGAAATAAAAGAAAACAAAAGAAAGAGTAAAAAATGCCTACTAGGTACACAATGCAATGTACTCTTGGTTCATGAGACAATAGATTCTTGGAGAGATCTAAATTGTATTCTCCATCATGGTTGTCCTGATACTTTGTGAAATACTTAGCATGCAGTTCCTCTCACGTCACTGTTGTTGAAAAATAAATAAATGTTAGAAGATATAAATAAATAAGAACAAGAACAAATGAAGGAACTGCTGGGCATAGTGGAATATGCCTGTAATCTCAACTACTCAATTAAGTCAGAGGTAGATGGGAGAATTTTTATCTGAGAAAAGCCTGGACAAAACCATAAAGCCCTATGGGGTGGATGGGGGGAACTAAAGCAAAATGGGATGGGGACATGGCTCTACCAGTAGGGTCCCTGAGTTCAGTTCCCAGTACCACTGGGAGAAGGGACGGATAGAATGAATGATGGAACATCAGACTAATTTTAAAGGATGAATTTTGTTAAAATAATTTCAAAAAGGAAATGGAGTTTTCTCCTTGCTGATAAGCATCACAGAACTATTCTTATCTACAAATACTGAAACTGAAGAATCTGGAGGAGGGAAATAAAGTTACCATAGAGTTGGATATGAGTTTCCACAAAGCACTGAAAGAATACATAAGCCTCCTGTAAATGAACTCTGAGCATAAGGTAATTTTTCAGTTATTGTCAAGGTTGGATTTCTTTACCTGTGTATGTGTATGTACTTGTCTCACTGTATGTATAGCTTGTTGTTTGTAAATACTCTCAATGAACTTCCTATGCAAAGGTAAAGAAAGAACTAAAAAAAAAAAAAAAAATCCGGCCTTTTGGCCGGAACCGCCATCTTCCAGTGACGAACACAAAGGGAAAGAGGAGAGGTACTCCGTACATGTTCTCCAGACCCTTCCAGAAACATGGAGTTGTTCCTTTGGCCACTTACATGAGAATCTACAAGAAAGGTGATATTGTAGACATCAAGGGAATGGGTACTGTTCAAAAAGGAATGCCCCACAAATGTTATCATGGCAAAACTGGAAGAGTCTATAATGTTACCCAGCATGCTGTTGGCATTGTTGTGAACAAGCAAGTTAAGGGCAAGATCCTTGCCAAGAGGATTAATGTGCGAATTGAGCACATTAAACACTCTAAGAGCCGAGATAGCTTCCTGAAACGAGTGAAGGAAAATGACCAGAAAAAGAAGGAAGCCAAAGAGAAAGGAACTTGGGTTCTACTGAAGCGCCAGCCTGCTCCACCCAGAGAAGCACATTTTGTGAGAACCAACGGAAAGGAGCCTGAGCTATTGGAACCTATTCCCTATGAATTCATGGCCTAAGAGATGTTAAAAAATAAAAGACTGCTGGACTATAAAAAAAAATCCGAACATTCCTTTAGTTTCTAGAGAAGTCTTTTATCTAGTCTTTAGCTGGGCAATCTGCCCTGGTTCTTCCATTTGCCTTAATATAATTCAGAGAGACCTCTTTCTGGAGATTTTTTTTTGCTTTTGTTTGGTTTTTAAATTTCTGTATGCTTTGTTATTTTGCCATGAATTCCTAATTTCCACAAATCCAAACTCATTAAATCACCTGTGGTATTCACTGGTAAGATTCAAATGTTTTCAAGGGGAAAATTTGGCAAAATGTTTTATCAAGCCTATAAAAAGAGTTTTGCTTTGATATTGTGTCTATACTTGCTTGATTTGCCATCTATATAAAAAAATGTAGGTTAACATTTGAAGGTAGGATTCATATTATTTTAAGTTAAAGATTGATTGTATTAAGATCAGCCTCTGCTATTTATTTTTGCTTCTGAGTATTATATATTTATAGTATCTTCATTCTATAACATACTGTGTTTGAAAAACACAGAGCAGTTAAAGGAAAGAGGAGTTGAGTTCACTGACATTTTCTTATTTGAATTTCTCCATGTCTTTCCAACTTAAAGAGCTCAGAATAATGTGAATTTCTTACTTCAATTTCATTTTTAATACCTTTCCAAGCATTCTAGCTGTGTACTCTCTACTTCTTACACATTAGGGAAGATGTTATGCCCTGGTAATATTTACTTATTCCTCTTTATTCCTTCTGTAGAGAAAAGTCTCAAGTGACCTTCAGTAACTGTCTCAGTGAAAATTTACTTTTGCAGAAGAGCAACTTTTGAAAAGTATCATCTCTTCACAACAGATTGCCATGACTCTCTAAGCTCCTTCATATCCCCTGGTATTTGCTTTAGCCTCCATTTATGAGTTTCCATGGAATTTGCCTTGCACTTTTACTTTTGTCTAACACAGACATTGGTTTTCCTTTTTTGTTGTTTTAGTTCATAAAAAATATAATTTAAGCCCCTTCATTGCAGCATAGCATGTCATATATCTGGCAAAACACAAAAAGCTGGTGACATTGGAAAATATTTTAATGTTCTAAAAGTTGAAGAATGTTTAAATTTAGCCAACTACTTAGTAAGAGCTACATATAAGAAATAAATGAATTTCTATCAGAAGATAAATTGCTAGTAGGTAAGTGCTTGTGTGTGGGGGGGGGCGCATGCACGCGCACATCTGGATGTGTGCTTTTGTGTTTGTTAATTTCAATATTTGAAAGGTGTTTTCAGAAAACTATTGCATAGAACAGATGACTGTGTTTTGAGAAAAGACTTCAAATTCAGTATGTTGTACCACAGAAGGAAAATTGTGTTACACCTTCTTTGAAGAATTATAGGAATAAGAGTGCCTGTATGAAGTTCTGTTAGAAAATGCAAAAGAAAAATCATGCTGTCTCAATGTTATGCTAAAAATTCAAATATAGTGTATTATTAGGAGAAAAAGTAAGTACAGCTTTTTTTTTTCTTCTTGGAAATACTATATCATGTTCCACACTAGAGTTTTAAGGGCTGAACATTCACTCAGTGTAATTTCCAGGTGCAAAAGCAGTATTATTAAGTACTTCCCAATATTTTCATGTGAATATTAGTTTGATTTTGTAACTATATCTTTTCAATTAGGTTTGGTGCTATGCAGAATTCCTAACAAAGATGTTTCAATCATAATCTTTTCAAAATCTTGTTAGTTTCCATTGATGAGATTTTTTTATACAAGCAGATGGTCAGAAACACAAAGGTTATCTTTACAGTATTGCACATTTTTCAGCAGATGAAATTGTCAGTTAAAAAAAGGGTTATTTAAAATTTCCTACAATAACTGGAAAATATTTTCAACCGAAACCTTAAGTTATAACCCAGATCTTTCTAAATAAGGATGAGCCTCCAATATAGAACAGGCATGCATTGGTAAAGCATCTGGCTAGGCCAACATTGGATGAACCATCAACCACTTAGGGATGTAGATGGAAAAGACAAGAAGACATAATTGGGGCTGAGCCTCCCAGCTGCCCCTTCCCAGCCTAGCCATCCCACCCAGCCCTCGCTCCCCACCACTGGCCGCACCTTGGGCTGAAATCTGTGCTCCTTGGGCACCTGGACCACGAACTCCTCTGGCAGCTCCACGAGGCCCTGGTCCACGATGAGGAGTGGCTCGCTCTGCAGCTGGCTGCTGGAGGAGATGTCTGGGAGGTAGAGCGCCTCCTGGGCTGCGCTCAGCATGTCGTAGTGAAGCAGCAAAGGATGGATGTCTCTCACTGTGCTTGCCACCTGCGGGGACCGCAGGGCGCACCATCAGACCCCCACTCAGCTCAGGCCCACCTCATAGGAGCCCTGGGAAGAGGCCATTCCCAAGGCAGCTATCTGTTGCAGGCTATAGACTCCAGCCACCCCAGGCCCAATCAGCCCTGGATCCAAAGACATGGAAGCTCCTGGGCTCCAGGGCAACACTGTTCTAGGTAAATACTAACCGGGCAGTAAAATATCCTGATCCCTAATAGAGATCAGAAGATTCAACATGATTACTCAAAGTAGAATAAACCAGCTGCCTGAAAAAATATAAAGGTGATTTTTTTTATTGATCCACAACATTTTGATATCAATTTGGGGCACTAACAGCTACATAAGGGTAAATGAAAGTATTGGTTGCTGAACTCAATGCTTACACCAAAAATAAAGTTTGGGAAGATAATGAGTGAAGAAATCTTCAGAAAGGTTTTTGATTTGTTTGCTTATTTTGTTTTGTTTGGTCTACAGGCACACTTATATGAATTGTTTAGATATTTACATGTTTTCAGGTCATTTCATTAACATTTTTTGAAAGATATTGTATTGAGATCTGGGGTAGATATTACGGTAGCAAGGGTACACACATATTTTTCCATTTACATACACAGTGATTTCACTGACAAATGGTACATCTTACAGAGATCAATAACTATGGAAGACCAAGACAAAAATGAGAAAATAAAATTGTACACACATGATTTTTAAATAATAGACAAAACAGTCATATATTATATGCCATGAGACACTGAGCCATTTGAGTACAGATTTTTTTTCCTCCTACTGAATTCATACATGGGATACCCATTTATCTCCACTATTCGCAATTAGTTTAATATGAAAGAAATGTCATAAAAATGTACCTGCCAATAAAAAGTGAAATATTATAAACAATTCTCTAATATTTTTAACATACATATGCATGCTGAAAAATACATTAAATATGCTATGCAGCTAACATTAAACAGGAGAAAAATATAAAAGTTATCATTATCATTCTAAGAGAGTTTACACAGTGGTGTGCTAATGTCTACATATATAATATTTACAAATTAATAATAAAAGTCACATTGTTTGAAATCATATGAATTATACAACCTTTCAGCAAAAGTACATCAAGTTAATAGCCACATAACCCACTTAGGATGCAAAATTTTAAGTCTGAGTTACTGCCATAAAACAACTTCTTAATTTTAACCCTATCATACTACACACACATAGCTATGGAAATGTTATCCTGATGACATTTAATTAACTTAGGGGCACATACAAAGTCTCAAAGAAACAACCACATTTCAAAACAGTTGTGAAAATCAAAAGCTCTAAGAATTCCTTTAGTTGATGTTTCATTCTAGTGTCATTTTTGCTATTTCTTTTATTTCTAAAATGTCCCTCTCCACTAAGTCCAAATCAATAATGTGACAAATTAATAATGTGAGCAATTTACATATATGTTTCATGAATATTCACAGGTGATTTTTTTTTTGCCAGTCCTAGAGCTGGAACTCAGGGCCTGGGCACTGTTCCTTAGCTTCTTTTGTTAAAGGCTAACACTCTATCACTTGAGCCATAGCACTACTTCTGTTTTTTTCTGTTTATGTGGTACTGAGGAATGAACTCAAGGCTTCATGCATGCTAGTCAAGCACTCTACCACTAAGCCACATCCAGCCCTCTATTAACATCTTTAAAACTATGCAAGGGAGAAAATTACCAAAAGTGTATCATGATGTATTAAGCTATATGCCTCAGTTAAAAGGCTGATTTTTTTTTTACCCTTGGCCAAGTTGTCTATATAGGCAACTTTGGAATAATGGAATACACACACTGACACATACACACACACACACACACACACACACATGTATACACATATTGTTTGCACATTTAAAACATATTCATTGTCTTCCTAGGAAGTTTCAGTTCTTCTAAGTGCTAGAAACCTTGGCGAACAAAATAGACTATATAATTACTTAAATACAAATTGTGAGGACAATAGGGAATATACAAATAAATGAATAAATAAGAAAAGTTCCCTATAGATAATGAGTAATCTATTTAAAAAAAACTATTAAATCAGTTATATAGCCAGGCACCCCCTGCCTGTAATCCTAGAAACTTAGAAGGCTGAGATCTGAAGATGGTGATTCAATGTCAGCCTGAGCAAAATATCCATAAGATTATTTCCAATTAATTACCAAAAAGCCAGAAGTGGAGCTGTGGTTCAAAACAAGTGGTTAGAGCACTAGCCTTGAACAAAAGATCTAGCTCCAGGGTTAGCACAAAATAAAAACAAAATAAACAAAAATATTATTTTATTTAGGATTTTAAGGAAGACCTCTGTGGGGGTAAAACTTGAGTTCATTTTTATAAAACTAATATCTGAATTTTCTAATCATATATAAATCAGGAATCAAGAACATTTCAGTCTATTAAATAGGCATCTAAGCAGTCTACAAGAATAATTTAACAATGTGGGTATTGTGGTCAAGGAGATCAACAGTTTGGGATGTCAGAGAACAAGTAACAGCCCAACAGCGAGTAGAGTTAATGTTAGGCTTAATGTTAGGCTGTTGAAGATACTTAAAAATAAAAACAAAAGCCTCAGGAAGGAAGAATAGTACTGATGAGGGTAGACAAAAATATTAGTGATTTCCTGTCAAGGAGAGTTCAGATCATTCCAGTTTTTCAGTAGGAACAGAATGTTAAATGATTAAAATGCACATATAATGGAACCTGACAAATACATTACTGATATCTAAGAAAAAGGATCTCAGAATGAATAAGAACAAGGAATGAACTCCAAAGAAGCATGAGACAAACTCTCAGAGGTCTAGACGACTCAGAAAACGATTCATTGAAGCAGACTGAAGGAGGAAAACAAAAATGAAAACAAAACAACAAAACAGGAAGCTATGTATACTTGACTTTTAATTTGGAAGAAATTAGACTCTGTTGCATTCTATGGAATGGAGATATTTTATAAGTATGAAGTTCAAACTCGTTTAAATTTACCATCTCTATAAAAACAATGTATAGTCACCAATCAGTGGCAGCAAAATGGGAAACACTGCTTGTCCACATGGAAATAAAGCTATTAGAATAGGCCCTCTCCCCAAAATTTTGTTTGATGGGTCATGGGTCTTGCACTCTGGGTCTGGGCACTATCCCTTAGCTTTTCAGCTCAAGACTAGCACTCTATCGCCTGAGCCATGGCGCTACTTCCAGCTTTTTCTGTTTATGTGTTGCTGAGGTATCTAACCTAGCACTGAGACACGTTCCCAGCCCTTAGCTTTTATTTTTAAAAGTCTTGTATATACTACACTAATTTCTGGGTATAGGTCTGTTTGAATTATAAACATGGAATTATAAACATTTTTCCCCTAAAGCTATTAAAATTAAATCCTCAAATAAAACATCACAGCTAAGAGTCTGGAATTCTACTAGAAATAGGGATAAAAAAATAAATCTGAAAATACCTCTTTAAGCTTGCCATGCTTTTACAATACGTATGACATTCCTGCTAAAAATCTTCTAACCTTCACATAAAGAGGTCATGAGTTCATCAGCTGTACTTACGGGATAACTTATGAAGCAGCAAGATACCTCATGTTAAGGGAGTTGATATATATTTACTGTGACACTCTACCTATTTATATACATTTTCTAGATATACTAAAAAATGAAAAAGTCGTTATACCTTGAAGGAAATACTCTTTCAATGTTTAAAGTCATTCTTTACATCTTTCTGTCTTACACTGCTTTTTTTTCTTTTCTAGGCTCTTTAACAACAAACAACAATATTTTTTTCAAAATAATAATAGCATTGACATGCATGTCCCATATTCAAACTCTTGCTATATATCTTAAGATTTCTCAAGGTAACAATGGTCTTGAACAGGAAGTGATGACCAATAGTTTTGTTTCTATTTTGTAATCTAAATTTACCTATGCTTAGTATCATCTAAATAAAATGGGTCATCCGCTATTATTATAAAGTTTGGAATGCTTTACTCATAGATAATAGTTTATACTGAGAAGCAATTCCCTTATATAACTTCCATACAATCATTTTCAATTTTCCAATATTTTTAACTATTTAAATATTTTGATCCTGTTTTCCTAGTAGATAGGTTTGAGATATGAAAATTATTATTACTATTTTTTGTGCTTATCCTGGGGCTTGAAAAGGGCCTGGGTACTGTCCCTGTGTTTTTGTGCTGAAGACAAGCAATCTAGAAAATGAGCCACAGCTCTACTTTCACCTTTTGAGTGGTTAATTAGAGATAAAAGTCTCACAGTCTTTGCTGTCTAGGTAGCTTTGAACCATGACCCTCAGATTTCAACCTACTGCGTAGTAAGGATTAATAGTTATGATTTGCTGGCCAGCAAAAATGATCATTTTATGATTTATTGAATTGACTGAGTTATGTCTCCCTTGTTGATATGTTGTGTCCCAAATATTAAGGCATATTAAAATATAAAAGCCTCAGAATTTTGATTTTGCATGGACATGAGCCAAGCAGTATTAAAAGGAACAAGAATAAGTATTATAAAAAGAAATATTTCTTATGGTTGCTCCATAATTTTCTTATTATGTGTGGAATATACAATTGAATAAACACAATACTAATGTGGAGTCTGTTTGCAATCTCAGCACTTCAGAGGCTGGGCTACTGGATTACATAGTGAGCTTAAAGCCAGACTGATGGTCTGCATACTAAGACTGTGTTTCCCAGAAAGAAAGGAAGGAAGGAAGGAGGTAGGGAGGGAGGAAAGAAAGAAAGAAACAAAGAAAAGAAAGAAAAAGAAAGAAAGACAGAAAGAAAGGAAGAAAGGAAGGAAGGAAGAAAAGAAGGAAGGAAAGAAGGAAGGAAGAAAGAGAAAAAGAGAAAAAATAATCAAAAGTATCAAAATTCAATGGCATATACATGTAAACATTGTTCCTAATGGACTTCAGCTAGTTTTCTTTTTCTTTTCTTTCCTT